CCTGATACCAAAACCAGGCAAAGACACCACAAAAAAAGAAACTTATAGACCAATATCTCTTATGAATATAGATGTAAAAATTCTCAACAAAATTCTAGCCAATACAATTCAGCAACATACAAAAAAAAAAAAAATTACACTCCAACCAAGTGGGATTTATACCAGGGATGCAAAGATGGTTCAGCATTAGAAAATGAATCCACACAATCCACCATATAAATAAAACAAAAGAATCACATGATCATCTCAATTGACACGGAAAAGGCATCTGATGAAGTCCAACATCCATCCATTCATGATAAAAACTCTCAATAACATAGGAACAGAAGGGAAATTCTTCAACATAATAAAGGGCATCTATATAAAACCAACAGCCAACATCATTCTCAATGGAGAGAGGGTAAAAACATTCTCCCTGAGAACAGGAACAAAGCAAAGATGTCCTTTATCATCGCTCTTATTTAACATTGTGCTGAAAGTCCTAGCTAGAGCTTTAAGGCAAGAAAAAGAAATAAAGGGCATCTATATTGCTAAGGAAGAAGTAAAACTATCTCTGTTTGTGGATGATATACTATATACATAGAACCCTAAAGACTTCAAAAGAAAACTACTGGAACTAACAGAAAGATGTAGCTGAGCAGCAGGATACATGACAAACATACAAAAATCAGCTGGATTCCTATAAACCAATAGAGAGAACTATGAAAAGGAAATCAGGAAAGCAATGTCATTTACAATAGCCTCTTACGAAATAAAATACTTACGAATAAATCTAACCAGGGACGGAAAAGACCTAGACAAACAAAACTACAAAACACTACTGCAAGAAACCAAGAGACCCACATAAATGGGAAAATACACCATGCTCATGGATAGGTAGATTCAATATTGTGAAAATGTCAATTCTACCCAAAGCAATCTACAAATACAATGCAATCCTGATCCAAATACCAACAGCATTCTTTAACAAGATGGAAAAACTAATCACTACCCTTATACGGAAAGGAAAGAGTCCCCAGAGAAGTAAAGCACTATTGAATAAGAAGCATAAAGTAAGAGGCCTCGAAGTACCTGACCTCAGAACCTATTATACAGCTATGACAGTCGAAACACTACAGTACTGGTACAATGGCAGACACACTGACCAATGGAACAGAATCAAGAAGCCAGATGTAAATTCATCTACCTACAGTCACCTGATTTTTGGCAAAGGACCAAAGTCCATCATTTGGGAAAAAGACACTCTTTTTAACAAATGGTGCTGGCAAAACCAGATGTCCATCTGTAAAAAAATGAAACAAGACCCATACCTCACACCATACACAAAAACTAATTCAAAATGGATCAAAGACCTAAGTATAAAACCAAAAACTATAAAGATCATAAAAGAAAAAATAGGGTCAATACTAGGGGCCCTAACACACAGCATAAATAGGATACAAACCATAACTAATACACAAACACCAGAAGATAGGCTAGAGAACTGGGATCTTGTAAAAATTAAACATTTATGCTCATCAAAAGACTTCACCAAAAGAGTAAAAAGAGAACCTACAGACTGGGAAAAAAATTTTGGCTATCATAAATTTGACAAAGCTCTAATCTCTGAAATCTATAAGAAAATCCAACCCTTCTACAACAGAAAGACAAATAATCCAATTAAAAAATGGGCAAAGGATATGAACAAACACTTCACCAAAGACGACATTCGGGCAGATAACGGACACATGAGGAAATGCTCCCGCTCACTAGCCATTAGAGAAATGCAAATCAAAACTACGATGAGATACCATCTCACTCCGACATTACTGGCATGAATCAAAAAAACAGAAAATAACAAATTCTGGAAAGGCTGTGGGGAGACTGGAACTCTTATGCACTGCTGGTGGGAATGTAAAATGGTACAACCGTTTTGGAAAACGATATGGCACTTCCTTAAAAAGCTAGAAATAGAAATACCATACGATCCAGCAATCCCACTCATAGGAATATATCCTAGAGGAATAAGAGCCATCACACAAATAGACATATGCACACCCATGTTCACTGTAGCATTATTCACAACAGCAAAAAGATGGAAACAACCTAAGTGCACATCAACAGATGAATGGATAAACTACGGTACATACGCACAATGGCATACTACACAATGATAAAGAACAGTGATCAATCTGTGAAACATCTCATAACATGGATGAATCTGGAGGGCATTATGCTGAGTGAAATAAGTCAGTCACAAAAGGACAAATACAGTATGACCACTATTATATCACTCACAAAAAGGTTTACACACAGAAACAATTTTTGATGGTTATGAGTGAGGGGAGGGGTGGGGAGGGAAAAACACAACACTAACTAGACAATAGGTTAGTGGTAACTTTGGTGAAGCGTAAGTTAAGACAGTACATAATACTAGAGAAGTCAGTATAACTTGAACAAGGCAAAGTCACAGAAGTTTCACAGACACATCCAAACTCTCTGAGGGACCAAATTACTGGGCTGAGGGCTCAGGACCATGGTCTCAGGGAACATCTAGCTCAATTGGCATAACACAGTTTATGAATAAAATGTTCCACATCCTACTTTGGTGAGTAGCACCTGGGATCTTAAAAGCTTGTGAGCAGCCATCTCAGATACTCCACTGGTCCCACCCCATACGGAGCAAGGGAAAATGAAGAAAACCAAAGACACAAGGGAAAGATTAGTCCAAAGGACTAATGGACCACCAACTACCACAGCCTCCACCAACTGAGTCCAGCATAACTAGATGGTGCCTGGCTACCACCACAGACTGCTCTGACAGGGATCACAGTAGAGGGTCCCAGACAGAGCTGGAGAAAAATGTAGAACAAAATTCTAACTCACAAAAAAAACACCAGTCTTACTGGTCTGACGGAGAGTGGAGAACTCGAGAGCATGGCCCCCAGACACCCTTTTAACTCAGTAATCAAGTCACTCCTGAGGTTCACCCTTCAGCAAAAGATTAGACAGGACCACAAAACAAAACAAGACTAAACGGGCACACCAGCCCAGAGGCAAGGACAACAAGGCAGGAGGAGACAGGAAAGCTAGTAATGGGGAATCAAAGGTAGAGAAGGGGAAAGTGTTGACATCTTGTGGGGTTGGCAACTAATGACACAAAACAATATGTGTATTAATTGTTTAATGAGAAACTAATCTGCTCTGTAAACCTTCATCTAAAGCACAATACGAAAAAAAAGGGAACCGAAAAAGAAAAGAAAAAGGATAACTGGAGTAAAAAATCACTATCCACTAAAAATTCCAAAGAATCAATTTTTTAATACAGAAACTGATTAGGCAAGGAAGGATCCTATTTGTGGTATAGGCAGCTAGCTAGCTGTCCACCAAAAATATTCCCCTTCCATAATACAGAGTTGTCCCTGGGAACTAACGTCCAGCAAGACTACATTTCCCAGCCCCGCTAGCAGTTAGCAAATGAATGTCAGTGGAAAGATGTGAATATCACTTCCAGGCTCAGGTTTTTAAGAAGTGGGTGTGCTTTCTGTATGCTCTCTTCAGCCAGTTGGATGCAGAAGACAATAAGGTCTTAGGGAATGACAGAGCCCAAAGACAGAAAGTGCCTGGGACTTAAATCATTGTGGGAGGAAAGCCACCTACTCACCACAAGCACTTGCATTGGATTTATGTAAGAAAAACTGGTGTTAAGTGACTGGAATTTTGGGCTTTATTTATTTGTTACAGCAGTAAGCATTACCCTAATTAATATTCATTTGGACTATACTTACAGAGACGATTAGTATTAACCTTTACTGAAAAACTATGAAAAATAGGGGACCAATCAGAAGCATTATAGAGACAAAAACAGAATATATTTACATGTGTATTTGTATAGTGGGTATATTGTTTGTCTGTATGTAGTTATATGTCTGAATAGTTATCAGATGTCTAAAAATGCTACCAAATGTCTAAATTGAAACTATAAAGGATCCACAGAGATTAATAAAAAAGCACCATATGCCAGAATACAGCCCCAAACATCAGAAATTCATCTGAAAGAATGTCAACAGAATGTGGAGAGCTTGCAAATAAATACAGTGAAACCTGTGAGAGCTGGAACTCAATGAGACTGCCTTGTTTTTCCGGGTCCTACAAATTTTCCCCCTTTGACATGATGCAGTCTTACCACTTTTCTATTGCTCGTTTTAGTGGAAAATATTTCCTTTTCTGACAGGTTTCCGCCTTACATAGATTCTGGTTTTCACAGGTTTTACCGTACTTGTTGAAGGCTGACTGCTACTTTGTCAAGAATTACTTGAGAAAAAGGGGGAAAGTTAGATTCTCCCTTTACTTCTTCATATATAGGGCTGGGGACCTAAGAATGCAGGCAACCAATGGTAATATCTAAACAAACCTGTAAACCCATTGCCGTCGAGTTGATTCCAACTCATAGCAACCTAGGAGGACAGACTAGAACTGCCCCATAGTTTCCAAGGAGTGGCTGATGGATTCGAACTGTCAACCTTTTGGTTAGCAGCCAAGCTCTTAATCACTGCACCATCAGGGCTTCAATATCTAAACAAGCATGTCAAATAGGTAAAGGAGTGCCCATAACTTATCAAGCATATTTTTAAAAAAAGAAAACAAAAACAAAAAAACCAAAAATGTTTAAATCTGAAATCATATCACTTATAATCTATATCAATTATCCCTGTTTGGTCTTGTGGTAATCCCCAACTAAGTAGTAATCAAGAGTTTAACTAATTGTCCTGTGGATCCTAGAAAAAAGTTAGAATACCTTACAGTCATTCAGGAGATTAAGATTATTACTGAGAAAGCCTTTTTCTAACTATGAATGTGGTTGTTTTCTAAGAGGGTCAAATAATTTAGAGGCAATGGATTCTATTTTGTTAAGGGAAAGAAACAATAGCAGCATGAAACTGAATGTTTCCGGTTTCCTTTTTTAACATGCACACTTAATTTACTTCAGGAAAATATCTATGCTGGGGTAAAACACAAACCTGGAAGTTTGCCACAATAGAAAGTCCTAAGCAACTCAGTAATCCAAGTACAAGGCCAGCTTTGTTTAATCTGATGATACGATTCTCTTCAGGATTCAGAGCATGGACTTGCTTATAACGAACATAAATGGTAGCAACGCCTGAGGAGAAAATTCAAAAACAACAAAGTAATAACCAAGGAGAAAGTTGCCAAGAAAGGGCTCACAAAGGTCACAAATTTAAAGAAATACAGATTTTCCTTTTAAAGTTAATCTCACAGAAGAAAAACACCTGTAGATTTTAAAGAACTTTTAAGGTTCCATTATGTACCTACTGATATTACTGCCTGACTGAGCAAGTCATTTTAATCATTTTAACAAATATTTAGGATAAAACTTAAGAGATAAGTTTGATGTTTTCTGAAAATCTCTAATAATATGTGCTATATAAAACACAAAATATTTTATATGATTAACATCAAAGTCAAAAGTGACTACTTCTAGAATATGGATAAAATGGTCACAGGTAAAAAAAAAAAATACCTCAAAAGATTATTTATTTTACTCTCATAACATTCTCTTTCAAACTTACAACTTGGCTCAATCAGATACAGTTTTCAATTAGATATAGTGTTCAATTAGATACAGTTCTCAATTATACAGGAAAAAAATGCCCACTTTACCATCTTACTAGTCAAGGAAGGGCCAAAATGAACTTTTCATTTCAGAAATATTCCAAAGAACTCAGCAATGTAGAAAAAGTAATAAAGATAGGCTTTACTTTAAGTAGTCAACATGTTCATGAAAAGTTGAGTCATAAGACAAAATTTATATAACCTGAATCATTTTCCTGACATTAACTTTCGACCCAAGCAAACAATGGAAAAAAAAGTTTTTAACAAACCATTATAAAAATTCAGTTCATGATATAAATACTAAACAGGAATGAAAAGTACTATCATGGGAACGCCACTCCTTTGGAATTAACACATCACTCAGAAATCAAAACATTCTTCCATCTCTATTCCCAAACTTCTAATTGTTTATCCTAAAGGAATTTAGTTAGGTTTAGCTGTGGTCAGTTGCATCTACAACTCTTTTTCCCTTACTGGTTGCTTATACTTTACAACTTCTTTCTGGATGAATAGCTGAATAGACCTATAGATTAATAAAGATCTATTTCCATAATTTATTTCTAGAAATTGTTCTTTTTAAAGTAGCATATCTGTGATCAATAATTTAGTGATAACATTCCCTCACGTATAACTAAAAAGTAAAAGTGGTAACACAATATGCTTTAAAAAGGAAAACGGCAATTTAGCTATTATTTTTAATCCTTAAGATCACTTTCATTACTTACATAAAACTGCAGTGACATTTAACATTGCCCCAAACAAGCATTTCTCTGGAGCTACTGTACCAGTGTCACTGAAAGAAAAAAAAAGGAATGTAGATTTCTCACAAAAGATATACATGGGTATTTCTTTTGAGGAATAAGAAGTAAAAGGAATTACTTCGAACTCTTTTATCACTCCAGAAGTTCAATTCTTATATCATTTTATGAAGGGAACACGGCAATTTGCGATCACAAATAATTGCCTACTTCAGTTTCTCCTCACATCACTTAAAGACTATTTCTTTCCTACATAATAGAAATCAATATAAATTGATAAAACAAAAAAGCTTTATTTGGTATATTAAGATTATGTTACTGACTCACCATCAGTCAGGCAGGTGTATTTATCTCTCACCAGAATATTCCCTAAAGACCACAGGCCCTTTCTCAATTCTACTTTTGTGTACCTGCTGTTGACTCTGCCTAGAATTCAATTAACACCTAATCATTATTGAATGATTAATTAAATTAAAATATTAAGCACTACCACATGCCAGGCACCATCTAGGGACAGAAATATAGTCAGTAGCAAGTAAAACAGACAAAGCCCCTGCCCTCATGGAGCTTACATTCAAGACCAGTTTTGAGTCCCCTACTTTCAAAAGCCCTCACCAACTCCTCTAGCAGATAACTGGCGACTATCACAGCATTCTGTCCACCTGTTGCCTTTGAGTTGATTCTGACTCATAGCAACCCTACAGGGCAGAGTAGAACTGCCCCATAGGGTTTCCAAGGAGCTGCTGGTGGATTCAAGCAGTCAACCTTTTGGTTAGCAGCCTTAGCTCTTAACCACTGTGCCACCAGGACTCTGTATTCTGTCCACACTTCCCTTCAAACCACTTACCACAAAGCATTGCAAGTATCTGTTTACATGCCCATCTTTCAGGGTGGTATGGAATACACAGACCCAGATTAAAAGCCAGCTATTTAACTGTGGGAGCTGGAGTACATTCTTTTCTTCTCCCTTAGGCTACAATATAGGCTGTTAACTCCCCCCAGCTCATAGGATCAACATAACAATGAAATGAAGCATGTGGTAATACATGAAAAGTTCTAGCATAGCAGAAGGCACATGAAAGACTCCCATTAAATGCTAGTTCCTTTCCCTTCCCTCAACCTACTACAAAGATTAAAAAGACAAAATCTTTGGCCTTGAACTGAATAGTATAGAAAAGAGATAATAAGGATTCTCAGCTAAGGCAATGTAATGGAAATAAAAAAGAAATGGAGAGAGTCATGTCTGCTAAGGAATCAGTAAGGTTTGGTGAACATGTGGATTAGGGGTTTTAGGGAAAAGAAAGTAGCAAACACAAATTTTAAGGATTGGTCCTTCAGCTCTAAAATTCCAGGAGTCCTTTTCTTAATAAAAATCTGCAATTAAAAAAAATTATCTTTAATGAAAATGGAAAAAAGAAACAAATAAAAACAATGTATTTGTGAAGGAATAATAATAAATGATATCAATGATTTTGTTACTCCGATTATCTTCAGAGTGTGGGATTACGGGTTGTTCTTTCTTCCTTCTGCCTTCCAAACTGTCCACAAGGTATATGAATTATTCTTATAATCAGAAAAAAAATCCATAATTTTAATAGTTCTACTCCAAATGATATTCTTGTTTTGGATTATCCCATAAATAAGCAAAAGCACATATTTCCAAGATGGCTGGCTAAGGATGCCCCTTCTTTTGGCCCTGAAACAAAAACATAAACTGGCCAACAAATGAAAACAGCCATGCCCATGATTTCATCAGCACCATACTTCAACCCAGTGGCCACTAAACTGCTTTGATCACAGACCATCAGAAAAATGTCTGAGCATGTAACCTCAAAATACATGTATTTATTACATTACCATTCCATATATTAAATATTGTTGTTGTTGTGTGCCATTGAGTTGTTTCTGACTCATAGCGATCCTACAGTACAGAGTAGAACTGCCCCATAGGGTTTCCAAGGAGCAGCTGGTGGATTCAAACTGCCAACTTTTGGTTAGCAGCCTGAGCTCTTAACCACTTCACCACCAGGGCTACGTATTAAATATCAGTAAACTTTAAATATCTTTTTTTTGTTTTAATTAAAAAGTACACGAAGAGGTTTCAATTTTTTTTTTCTCATACTCCAGTCGATAGTCATGCACCTTACTGGGGCATCCACTTGTAGGGCAATTGCCTTTGAAGTGAAATTTACATTTGGTCATGTCTTTTGGGCTATAACAACTAAATCCTTTGGATGGGGTCTAGTAACTGAAAAGGAACTTTAGAGACTAGTTTAATTTTTTTGCAGATGAAGGAAATGAGTTGAAAAGAAGTAAAAATGACTGCTATTGAATTTAAATATATTAGATTGTTGGAGAAAGTTTCCTGGGTAATATTAAGTTCATAAGCAGGAAGAAAAAGAAAAAAAAAGGCAGAAGGGCTGGGCAGAAAAGGAAGTGTCTAGAGTGTCATCAGCAAATCACATGCAGTACCATCAAAGAACTGAAACTCTGAAAAAGAACCCAATGGCCTTGTAAGCAAATTATTAAAAGCTCTTCAAAATGGAAAAAAACAAGTTCTCAGAAGGGGAAAAAATAATGAAGAACCCTCATGAATCTTAAATATGTGTCTTTTCTCGGAGTTACTAAAGAATGGACTGGCTCCTTAAGCACTTGTTTCTCTAGCAGAGTGGTAAACAGTGATCATTTACCAAATTATTCCTAGAATTAGGACATTAAATTCTAAAACATTTTTGGGTTTTATAAATCTTCCCAAAGTGTCGCTAATCTGTTTATATCCTTTGTGCCATACCATTGTGGAAACAAATGTAGATGGTGGAAAGGTTATTTTACAGAAGGTAAACGAATAAACAAAACTGCAACAACAACAAACTAAAGCATATATATATAAAAACCAAACCAAACTCATTGCCATCGAGTCGATTCCAACTCATAGCGACCCTACAGGACAGAGTAGAACTGCCCCATAGGGTTTCCAAAGGAGCAGCTGGTGGATGTGAACTGCTGACTTTTTGGTTAGCAGCCTTAGCACTTAACTACTGTACCACCAGGGCTCCATATATATGTATATGTAAGTATATATT